CCAAATTTAGGAACTTTAGTTTGACCATAATTTTTAGTGCATAAAGTCGCTATTGTTCTCTCCATTATTAACACATGCCCAATTAAATTACCAAAGTTTATACAGGCAAACAAGATATTTGAGGTCGAAGCAAATAATGAATTGAATAGATTAGTTTGTTTAAAGGTGATTAGGAAGAGCCTTTAAAAATTTTTTACATTTACATATGTCGTAGAGATATTTACGGGTTGCCCGTCAAGGTAACTCAGTTGCCGGTTATGAAGATACAAGAAAAAAACAGGAAGAGATTGAACTTGAGAGTAGAAACAAGAACGATGGTATTGAGAGATTGATTCCAGATTTAAATCCCAGAGGCTTAGATGAAACCTTACATTAACTTATCATCTATCATAGCCTCAATGTCCAAAATAGGCACCCAGCTAATTACTAACAAAATTCACGAAATTCCCAAAAATCGAGAATTCCCCATGTATTTGAAGCGGATTCCGACCCCTGATAATTTGGGAATTTAATTTTAGGCTACGAAGATCCCTGATACATATTTAATCATTGCCAACTTACACAAAAACACGTGTTGTTGAATATATAAAAATAGCTATGCTTTGTGAAATGAGAATAATTTTCGAATTATTGTGTAAAACACTACTTTTCCATAATAAAAATAAATTTAAAAGAGAACAGGGAATTAAAATTGTTATTGGTACTAGTTCAAAAATACCAGTCGTGTAAATTAATGGAGTTATTTCCATATTTAATTCTACAATAAATTTCTTATAAATTAATTTTTAGTTGATGACGGATATAGACAACTCTTGGATGATAAGTATGCATTAGCCTATCATCTTTCTTAGCCTCAATGTCCAACATTGACACCCAGTTAAGGACTAACAAAAAAACTAGCAAAGCTCTATCCTCTATATCCGAGCTTAGATCTTTAAATTAATTTTAATTTACAAGGGAAAAACTGAACTCAACGTGATTCGGACGATTAATTAGTTAAACTTTGGGGACTGCTTCTTAATAAAACTTTACAAAAATTTTTTTGTCTATGTTTTTGAGGTCAGCTTGGATTGAAATATTTATCAGACCTCTCCCTGGAGGGTTTAATTAATCGAGAGAGGGCAATTAATTGAGAGAAGGCATACAAGTTAGCTGTAACTAGTTAATAGACTTAAGTTTGAAAAAAATAAAAGTAAAATCATAATTGAAGCATTGTACTCTATCAGGTTTCTAAGAAAAAATTTTTTAATGTTTCTAGTTATTCTCACGAGCTAAAAATTTTCTCATATAAAAATTTTTTGTTAAAAAAATCAAATTATAAATGTAAACAACTGAATAATAAAATTTTATAAATTTTTTTCTCACATTTTTAATAAACTTTTAAAAATTAAAAAGTTTCCACAGTTATCCTCGGTCCTCGTTCTCGGGTCCAAATTAGCCCCTCGATCTAGGCTTTCCAAGCCTCGGTGATCCTTGGCCTAGCTTTTTCAGAAACCTCAAACTCGCGCAACTCTAATTTAAATTATTGTTATTTATAATTAGATTTATGTATCTATTAATCAAAATAAATTTTATAAATTAATTAATCTTTAATAATAAATTTTTAAGTATTTTTATTTAAAAAAATATTATTTAAAATTTAATTAAAAAAATATTTTGATCATCTTATGTAATAATTCCAGAATTTAGATAATTATCATTAATAAAAATTTCTTTTTTTTCAATCACTTCCACATTTGTTCAAGCATTTCAAAATGCAAATCTTGTTCTTTTGTTCGTAAATTTTGTAATGAATTAGTAACTACAGTTTGTCCTTCAGCATTTATTCTATTAGAGCTTCCACATTTTACAAAATTAAATAATTTTGTAATTATTTTATTTAAATTTCTGTTCAAAACTGGGTGGAAACTTGAAAAAAAATTTTATTTTTTGTTAGAATAAATTATGTAAATTGTACACCTCCCACCCCACACCTTTCAAAAAGGGATTCAAAATTATATTATAGCAATAGTGTGCGCATCCGAAGCTCTAACTCATCTTCTAACTCATCTAGCTTATCCAAAGCTCTTCTAACTCATCCAAAAATGTGATATACACTCAATACCGGGTCATAGATCTACAACTCATGACTGGGTACTTATCACATTTGATATGGAAATGGTAGGGCTTTGCCCCATTTTAGAAAATATAGGGCGTAACAGAGCCTAACATAATAAGGCTGAAGTGCCGAAAAAGGAATTCTACGCAAGTCGGAATAGACAATCCCTGAATAGACAATGTGGGGGAAAGGCTCAATACCATAACATAATTTCTAGCTAAACTCTACTTACGTTATTACAGTAATTTCAATGCCTAGCTTACAAATTGAATGTATTATTAAAATAAAACTACTAATATCAATAAAAATATCATATGGCAATTTTATGTAGGTTAACATTGCAACTAAAATATTTGCACCCAAAATATTGATAAAATGGAAGAAAAATGAGGGTGCCAATTGTTTTCCGGTGTAAACATTTTCTAATTGCTTAAATTTCGTTTTAATTAAATTTTATTGTGTTGGTATAGGAGCTAGGAAAAATACCGAAAAATGCCGTGAATTTTAAAATCTTTTTGCCGCATTCTTTATTTGAGGAATAACGGTAAATACAAAATACCTAGGATAGTAATTAGAGATCAGAATTTTTGAAAAGCCTGAGCTAGGTTCAGTGTTTGATTTATTAACCTAGGCCGGATCCTGGGTCTTTAATCCAGGAAAAACCTAGGCCCAGGAAATCCCCAGGAAGGCAAAAATGCCTGGGCTTGGACTCTGGGTATAGGAAAACCATCCAGCCTATCTCTATTAGTAATGTAACGTCCTGGCTTTTCCCTAAGTCAACACCAACCTGATATCGTTCGTTTAATTTATAATTATGTGCACCTTTATATTTGTTATTTAAAAATTGTTTATAAATTTTTTTATTGAATGCTGTTAGTCTCGAAAATACCTAGAAATTTTTTTAATTAAAAAACATTTTCTGCTTTAAACATACAATTAATTCTAATATGCTTAGCAACAACGAAATACCTACTAAAATAATACTAAATAAATTCAATATATTGAGGCCTGTAGTATTTGTAGGTATTAATCTTTCAAGTATTGTTAATAATAACTGAAATATAATTAAATATGAGACACTCTATATAAGATCCTCTATCTCCTCTATCACTCTTAATTCCTCTTTAGTTCCATTCGTCATCTACCTGACCTGGTTTTTCTCAGATTTATATCTCTACAATATCAACAACAAATAAAACACGGATCTTCTCATAATTCAAAAATTAAATAAAATACTAAATGTAAGGATTAGGCAAGGATTGAACGACCACAAGGAGAAAAGAGAGATTCGATTCTGCTAAGCTTCCGATGTGGCTAATGCTTCAGATAAACTCTTAACCTTAAATAAGGCTCTTAAAATCTTTTAAAACTGAACCTTATTGGATCTTGATTTAATTTTTTGTTTATAACAAGGACTGGGACTTTAAAAATTTTCTCTCTGATTTCAAATTATTTTCATAACATAGTCAAAAATATTACCTACCAAAATCACAATACAACAAATTCCAAATATAGGGACTTTAGTTTGACCATATTTTGTACCAAATAAAGTAGCTACTGTTCTCTCCAATATTAACACATGCCCAATTAAATTACCAAAATTTATACAGGCAAACATGATACTCGCAAGCGAAGTAAATAATGAATTATATAAATTATCTTGTTTACTAATTACTAGATAAAGCCTTAAAATTTTACAATTTTATCTCTTATCGTTTGATTAACTTACTCAAATTCACGTGTTGTTGAATATAACAAAATAACAATGCTTTGAGAAATGAGAATAATTTTCGAATTATTGTGTAAAACACTGCTTTTCCATAATAAAAATAAATTTAAAAGAGAACAGGGAAGTAAAATTGTTAGAGGTATTAGTTCAAAACACCCAGCTACGTAAGATATTGGAGTTATTTCCATATTTAATTTTCTAAAAATTTTTAAAAATTAATCTATAGTTGATCCCTAGATATTCTATGTTACTTTAAATTAAATAAAAATTTTAAGGTTTTTCGAAAAAAATTATTTGAAAGATATACAACTCCCAACTCACTCCCTTACAATTGAGCTTAGATTAATACGGAGATATCAGCGGCTGATTATCGTGGGATTTGAGTTATTAAGAGCAAAATCTGGGAAATTCGGGAGATTAATTGGGCTATAGTCGGATCGCTCGAACTCGACTTACTCTACTTAAAATCAAGGTCAAGATCAAGTTCAAGGTTTTTTAAAAATCTCGCACTCTATCTAAAACATATAGCTATTTAATTCCTATGGCTATCAAGTAGACGGCGTGGTATAATGGCTAACACATCAGTCCGGTCTACTGAAGATGCTGATTCCCAGCCGCCGAATAACCTTTCGCAATAGCTAAAGGAGAGAAATAGCTATAGCTCCGCTTCTTTATCCTATCTTGACTTAATTTCGAAAAAAATGAATGTAAAATATTTATAATTGAAAAAGTGCACTCTATCAGTTTCTAAGAAAATTATTAAAAAATTAAAAATATTCTCATATAAAAATTTTAAGTTAAAAAAAATACAAATTATAAACGTAAACAACTGAAAAATAAAATTTTATTAAATTTTTTTCCCACATTTTTAATTATTTTTAAAATTAAAAAGTCATGTAAAATATTTTAATTTTTGTTTATTATAGCCAAAAAATTTTTTTTCCAATTATTCCCAAAGTTTCCCAAGCATTTCAAAGTGTACTTGCTGTTGTTTTGTGGCCATACTTGCTAAAATGTTCAAGTCATTTCCTTTATCCGCACATACTTTTGAGGATCTTAGGCATTTAAAATGGATAAATATTGAAGAGAAAAGTTTGGTTAGGTTGCGGTTTAAGACTGGATGGAAGCTGAAAATATTTTTGAAAAAAATTTTTTCGGCAAAATAAATCAAATTTACGTTATCACGGTCACTTCAATGAATAATTTACAAAATGCGTGGATCAGAAGAAAAAAACAAATTGTATCAATAAAAAATTCTACAGGTATTACATAATAATTTGTAACAGTTACAAGAATATTTGAACACAAAATATTAATAAAATGGAGGAAAAATGAGGGTGCCAATTGTTTTCCAGTGTAAACATTTTCTAATTGCTTAAATTTTAATTATAAATAGGTAAAAAATTTTTGGCATGAAAGGATAAGCTTTTTTTTTATCTATTTTTGTGTTATTCTGTTAGTCACTAGGTTATGCCGCACTTTAGGCGGCATCTCCTTATAAAATTTCCCTTTGGAAGTTGATTAAAATGAGAATGCTCTGTCATTTTTTCAGTATAAATACGGCAAATTATTCGAGGATCTTAGCAGGGAACCTCATAATCTTCAAAAAATTATTTTAAAAAACCAGCCTGATATCGTTCATTTAATTTATAATTTTGGACATGCTCAGATTTTTTACTTAAAAATTGTTTATAAATTTTTTTATTAAATGATGACAGCTTAGAAAATGCCTAGAAATTAAATATTTTTTAATTAAAAATATTTAAAAAATTAAAACATACAATTAGTTCTAAAATACTTAATAATAGAGACAAATGAACTGAAATAACAGCAAATAAGCTATACTTTTCAGAATTATTGAATAACTGTGCCAGTGATACTAAACACAGCTATAAAATGGAAATTTTTTAAAATTACCGTATTATCTCTAATAGAATCGCCGGCCATTATATTTTCAATCACCCTCCAGGGGGTTATTCTATTAGAGATAATACGAGATAATATTAATAATATAGTAAATATTATTATTATATAATAATTATTATTGTTATATTAATATTATAATATTATTATTATAATATATTATTATTATAATAATATTATTATTCTATTATATGTTATTATATAATTATTATAGTATATAATAATAATATTATTATTCTATAATGTTGTTATTTTATAATATTATTATAGTATATAATAATAATAATATTATTATTATGATATTTATTATTATTATATATATTATTATTATATCATTATAATATTATTAATATTATTATATTATATAATATAGTAATAATATTATTCTATTCGAGATAATTTTAGATATTATTTAATTTTAAAAATTCTTACCAAACTTAAAATACAACAAATTCCAAATATAGGAACTTTAATTTGCCCATATTTATTAGCAAATAAAGTAGCTATTGTTCTCTCCATTATTAACACATGCCCAATTAAATTACCAAAATATATACAGACAAGCATAAGACTATTAACATAGGGTGTTAAATTATTTAAGAATTCTTGTTTACAGTTGATTAGAAAAATTCTTAAAATTAACATTTAGGTTTTGTAATTTAATTATAGACTTACAAATACACACGTGTTGATGAATATATAAAAATAACTATACTTTGTGAAATGAGAATAATTTTCGAATTATTGTGTAAAACACTACTCTTCCATAATAAAAATAAATTTAGGAGAGAACAGGGAATTAAAATTGTTATTGGAATTATTTCAATATACTGGAAAATTAAAGATAATGTAGGGAATTCCATTTACCTTAATTTTAAATGTTAAAAAGTGTTTGAAAATGACAGAAAAAAGTTGGAAGAATTTTAAATATGCCTAGAATTGGGGGGGGGGGGGGGGAGAAGTGAATCACTCAGTTAAGTCCCTCAAGCTCAACTTTGAAAAAATTTCTACGTATAATAGAGCGTAGCGTGTACGTAAGTATGAATGTCATACGAATGTTCAGCCGACTTGATTCATAAAATCAACATTCTCTAACCGTTTTGTCCCAACAACATCAGAATCCCTAAAACGATCAGAATAATGAGTTGTAATAATAATTAAGGTTCTGCCCGTCGAGGTAATAAATGTCTCTGAAGTGAAGCACAAGAAAAGCAGGAACAGAGTGAACGTGAGTGGAGGGATACATGAAGGTAGAAGAGTGTATTAAGAGTAGGAAACTTTCCGGAACCGGAACCGGAACTTCCGATGAAACCCTAATTATGAGATATCATTGGACTGAATTTGTGTTGGCTATAAAGCAAACTTTTCTGCTTTTTTATGAATTAGCAAAGCTCGATTTTTATAAAATTAAAATATAAAATAAATTTAAAATAAATTTCTAAATTGAAGTTAACTTTCTTTTAAACAGATGGTTTTAAGCAGTTTTAAGAGCGTAAATATATTTACTTTCCAATAAATAGTAAAATTCACCTGTTTTTATGGCTCTTAGAATTAAAGATTACTTAAATGTATCTTTAATAATTTTAAAATTAAAAATGGAAAGACATTTATGTATAGGAAGTTAACCGATTCTGAGAATTTAAACTAATTTTGATCCAACTCTATGCTAGCTTGGAGCATACAAATTCCTTCTATTTGATTATTTGAAATGCTGGGTAATAATATTTGGGTAACGAGATCGAGTATTGATCTAACACCCGATCATGGAAAACTTATTAAGCTTCCAACCTTATATTGTATAATTTTAACAAAATGTACTTTTTACTTTTCAGTTCAAGAAAATAAACTAAAAAAATATTTATAAATTAAAGTGTAAATATTTTTTATAATAATTTTTTTTATAAATTTTTATAATAATTTTTTATCTAGAGTTTATTGAAAAGTTTTTAAATACTTGTATAATCATAAAAAAAATTTTCCAATTATTCCCAAAGTTTTCCAAGCATTTCAAAGTGTACTTGCTGTTGTTTTGTTGCCATACTTGCTAAAATGTTTACGTCATTTCCTTTATCCGCACATACTTTTGGGGATCTTAGGCATTTAAAATGGATAAATATCGAAGAGAAAAGTTTGTTTAGGTTGCGATTTAAGACTGGATGGAATCTGAAAAAATTTTTCAAAAAATTTTTCTGGCAAAATAAATTCATTATTTACGTTATCACGGTCACTTCAATAAATAATTTACAAAATGCGTGTATCACAAAAATAAAATAAAGTATATTAACAGATAATTCTATTGGTATTACAAAATAATTTATAATAATTACGAGAATATTTGAACACAAAATATTAATAAAATGGAAGAAAAATGAGGGTGCCAATTGTTTTCCAGTGTAAACATTTTCTAATTGCTTAAATTTAATTTTTAAAACATGGGCATGGTGAAGCATGAAGGTCTGTTTTCATTGTCAAAACAAAAGTCGATTAAGATGGGAAAAAAATTATGTCATGTCTAGGATTGACGGGTCCCGAAAAAAAATAAAAATAAGGTGCCAAAATGCCATCGGTTCCAGACACTGAGCATAGATCATTACCCAACTCCTCTACTCTTGTAAGCCTCTTCCCTCTCAGATATCCGGAGATTTGACAGGATTCGCTAGCCCTATTCAATACGAGCCCATTAATTTATTGGACCTCCTAATGTCCAAAAATATTAATCAAAAACTCCAACCTGATATCGTTCGTTTAATCTATAATTATTGGCTTGCCCAGATTGGCTATTTAAAAATTTTTTATAAATTTTTTTATTGAATGATGTCAGTTTAGAAAATGCCTAGAAAACGATTTTTTAATTAAAAAATATTATTCAAATAACCCATACAATTAATTCTAATATGCTGAATAATAGAGATAAATGAACGGCAATAAAAACAATTAAGCTCCAACTTTGATTACTACTGTTGAATAATTGTGTTAATATTGCAAAACATATCTAAAATTTTTTGGATTATCTATAATATTTAATATAAAAAATATTCATGATAAGATTTAATTACAAAATTCCAAATATTAAACATTTATCAGGTGCGGACAAGGTTGTGCCGAAAGAGAAAAAGAAACACCAAAAAAGATGAAAATTAGGCAAGGACAGGAGGACCCCTTTGGCATATATGGCACAACCCTGGTAAGGTTGTCGGATAGTTGAAAATCTTCGGATATCCGGATCCGACAACCCTAAACCCTGTGCGGGCAGATTTAGTGGTCGTCATTTAATTTGACTTATTACGATTGTGTTAAGATTGTGCTTTTGTATTTTATTAGATTTATTTTTAAAGGTTGCGTTTCCTAATAGATTTTCAAGACTACCAGGATTCGAAATTTATTGTAATATGTTCTAAGGAAAAGAAAAATCCATTCTTAAGCGCTCACTAAGCGTGGGTTTAAGCTCTATTATAAGAAAAGGTGAAAGCAGCGTCCCGTTAGCTCAATCGGTAGAGTACCTGTACGTGGTGAGCGAAAGGAAGGTGAGCGATAACTGCTAGAAAGTCGCAGGATCGGAGCCTGCCCGGGATCATACTTTTACATCGCTCATACTATATCACACAAAAGCTCATCAAAATCTCTATCAATGGATTTTTATTTAAATATATTAATACAAGTAAAATATTCCCTACCAAAATCAAAATACAGCAAATTCCAAATATAGGAACTCTTGTTTGGCCATATTTTTTATCAAATAAAGTGGCTATTGTTCTCTCCATTATTAACACATGCCCAATTAAATTACCAAAATTTATACAGGCTAATCCAAGACTCGTTAAATAAAATAATAAATTATTTAATAAATTTTCTTGTTTAAAGCTAATTAGAAAAATCCTTAAAATTAAAATTTAAGTTTTGTATTTTTCTTTAGACTTACATAAATAACCGGTTTGATGAATATATGAAAATAACTATGCTTTGTGAAATGAGAATAATTTTTGAATTATTGTGTAAAACACTACTTTTCCATAATAAAAATAAATTTAAAAGACAACAGGGAATTAAAATTGTTAGAGGTATTAGTTCAATGTATTGGAAAGTTAATGATAACGGAGTAAATTCCATTTAGCTAAATTTAATAATTTGTTAGAAAAATGTAAAAAGAATTAAGATTTGCGTAGAATTGGATGCATCACATAGGCCTTAAATCTAGAAATCTAAAGATGTACGAGCAAGGTTCTAGCCGACTAGGTTCCCATAAATCATCAATTTCCGACGTTTTTTAATTGGAAAAAATATTCATATTACCCATATATGACTCCCAAATATTCATATGACCCACAATATTCATATGACCATTATATAAAAAGATTATTAAAGCTCTGCTCGTCGAGGAAATATTAAATGCTCCTTGAATACAAAACATGGAAGAGGTTGAACGAGGAAGAGGTTAGCACTCCGTCACTCGAAACTCCGACACGACCCCGACGATTTTCTTGGCAAAAAACCCGACCCCAAACAACCGACCCAAAGGTCCAGGACCTTGACATACCCTCCCCGGCAAACTCCGATTCCTGACAAAACCGATTCCGAAGGCTCGCGTGCTACCTCAGGTTTAACTTACGAGGAGAAACACAAGAAGGAAGAGTAATAATAATGAGGAATATATTATCGTTCTGAATCTGTGTTGCGTATTAAAGAAATTATTTTTAATATTTTATTAGATAAATTAATAAATATCAATCTTATAAAATTGTTAATATAAAAAAATATTTAAATAAATTTTTCTTCTTTTAAGCAGATGTTTTCTAACATTTTTAAGAAAGTTAATTTTAATTTTTACTTTGTGTCAACAGTAAAAATTCACCTGTTTTTAGTTACGTCGTGACTTTTTGAATTAATAATTAGTACAAAAAATCTGTCCAATAATTTTAAAATTAAAAAAAGGAAACGCATATATGAATAAGAGATTATCTGATATTGAGAATGAAATTCGATTTTGATCCAACATTGGTGTTGGAGAATACAGATTATTTCAACTTTTGCTGACAAAAAATTTAATTTATAAAGTAAAGAGGCCGAACTTAATTGCAAAATAATACTCTATAAACTTTACAATCCAAGTTTGTTACCCGATTAAACCAGAACCCACCTCAGAAAATACCAAAAGATTGGTAAGGATATAATCTTGAGAGCTCTTCATTCATTAACCATTCAACACTGAACCCTTACCAAAAAACAAACAAAAGGAGAGGGGACTGGGAGAGCACTTGCTTCTGAGAGTTCTCCCATACAGGAGTGTTATTTGATCAACCATCCCCCACCAACTGATTGTTTTTATATTTTGGAACTTTGGCCCTATTTTTAATTATTTTTAAATGAAGTGAACACATGAAGGTAAAAGAGTGTATTAAGAGTAGGAAACTTTCCGGAACCGGAACTTCCTGTGAAATCCTAATTAAGAGGTATTATTGGATTGAATTTGTGTTGGCTATAAAGCAAACTTTTCTGCTTTTTATAAATTAGCAAAGCTCGATTTTTATAAAATTAAAATATAAAATAAATTTATAATAAATTTCTAAATTGAAGTTAATATTCTTTCGAACAGATGGTTTTAAGCAGTTTTAAGAACGTAAATATATTTACTTTCCAATAAACAGTAAAATTCACCTGTTTTTATGGCCCTTAGAATTAAAGATTACTAAAATGTATCTTTAATAATTTTAAAATTAAAAATGGAAAGACATTTATGAATAGGAAATTAACTGATTCTGAGAATTGAAACTGATTTTTAACCAAATTCATGTTAGCTTGGAGCTTACAAATTCCTTCTATGTGTTAATTCAAAAAAAGCATAGAAAATGCCGTGTAACAAGATCGAGTCATGATCTAACTTCCGATCATGGGAAACTCATTAAACTCCCAACCTTACATTAAATAATTTCAATAAACTATACTTTTTACTTTTCTGTTCAAAAAAATAAACTAAAAAAAATATTTATAATATTTTTATAATAATTTTTTATCTAAAGTTTATTGAAAATTTTCTAAATACTTGTATAACTATAAAAAAAATTTTTCAATTATTCCCAAAGTTTCCCAAGCATTTCAAAGTGTACTTGCTGTTGTTTTGTGGCCATACTTGCTAAAATGTTCAAGTCATTTCCTTTATCCGCACATACTTTTGGGGATCTTAGGCATTTAAAATGGATAAATATCGAAGAGAAAAGTTTGTTTAGGTTGCGATTTAAGACTGGATGGAATCTGAAAAAATTTTTCAAAAAATTTTTCTGGCAAAATAAATTCATTATTTACGTTATCACGGTCACTTCAATAAATAATTTACAAAATGCGTGTATCACAAAAATAAAATAAAGTATATTAACAGATAATTCTATTGGTATTACAAAATAATTTATAATAATTACGAGAATATTTGAACACAAAATATTAATAAAATGGAAGAAAAATGAGGGTGCCAATTGTTTTCCAGTGTAAACATTTTCTAATTGCTTAAATTTAATTTTTAAAACATGGGCATGGTGAAGCATGAAGGTCTGTTTTCATTGTCAAAACAAAAGTCGATTAAGATGGGAAAAAAATTATGTCATGTCTAGGATTGACGGGTCCCGAAAAAAAATAAAAATAAGGTGCCAAAATGCCATCGGTTCCAGACACTGAGCATAGATCATTACCCAACTCCTCTACTCTTGTAAGCCTCTTCCCTCTCAGATATCCGGAGATTTGACAGGATTCGCTAGCCCTATTCAATACGAGCCCATTAATTTATTGGACCTCCTAATGTCCAAAAATATTAATCAAAAACTCCAACCTGATATCGTTCGTTTAATCTATAATTATTGGCTTGCCCAGATTGGCTATTTAAAAATTTTTTATAAATTTTTTTATTGAATGATGTCAGTCTAGAAAATGCCTAGAAAACGATTTTTTAATTAAAAAATATTTTTAAAATAAGGCATACAATTAATTCTAATATGCTGAATAATAGAGATAAATGAACTGCAATAAAAACAATTAAGCTCAAACTTTGACTACTACTGTTAAATAATTGTGTCAATATTACAAAACATATCTTAAATTTTTTTGGATTATCTATAATATTTAATATAAAAAATATTCATGATAAGATTTAATTACAAAATTCCAAATATTAAACATTTATCAGGTGCGGACGAGGTTGTGCCGAAAGAGAAGAAGAAACACCAAAAATGACGAAAATTCGGCAACCCTGGTAAGGTTGTCGGATAGTTGGAAATCTTCCTTAAACCTTGGTTAAAGGAAGGACAACCCTAAACCCTGGTACCCTGGTATTTTGGATTTATTTTTAACGGTTGCGTTTCCCAATAGATTTTCAAGACCAGCGGGATTCGACATTTAATGTAATATCTTGTAAGTAAAAGAAAAATCCAGCTCGCTAGCATTTAAAACGCTCACTTAGCGTGGGTTTAAGCTCTATTATAAGAGAAGGTGAAAGCAGCGTCCAGTTAGCTCAATCGGTAGAGTACCTGTACGTGGTGAGCGAAGGAAGGTGAGCGATAATTGCCAGGAAGTCGCAGGATCGGAGCCTGACCGGGATCATACTTTTACCTTGCTCTTACTATATCATACTAAAGCTCATCAAAATCCCTATTAGTGGATTCTCTATTTGAATATATTAATACAAGTAAAATATTCCTTACCAAAATGAAAATACAACAAATTCCAAATATAGGAACTCTTGTTTGGCCATATTTATTATCAAACAAAGTAGCTATTGTTCTCTCCATTATTAACACATGCCCAATTAAATTACCAAAATTTATACAGGCTAATCCAAGACTCGTTAAATAAAACGATAAATTATTTAATAAATTTTCTTGTTTAAAGCTAATTAGAAAAATCCTTGAAATAAAATTTAAGTTTTGTAATTTGATTATAGACTTACATAAATAACCGGTTTGATGAATATATGAAAATAACTATGCTTTGTGAAATGAGAATAATTTTCGAATTATTGTGTAAAACACTACTTTTCCATAATAAAAATAAATTTAAAAGAGTACATGGAATTAAAATTGTTAGAGGTATTAGTTCAATATATTGGAAAATTAATGATAATGGAGTAAATTCCATTTATCTAAATTTTATAATCTGTTAGAAAAATGTAAGAAGAATGTTAGATATCCGTAGAATTGGATGTATCACATAGGCCTTAAATCTAGAAATCTAAAGATGTACGAGCAAGGTTCTAGCCGACTAGGTTCCCGAAAATCATCAATTTCCGACGTTTTTTAATTGGAAAAAATATTCATATTACCCACATATGACTCCCAAATATTCATATGACCCACAATATTCATACGACCATTATATAAAAAGATTATTAAAGCTCTGCTCGTCGAGGAAATATTAAATGCTCCTTGAATACAAAACATGGAAGAGGTTGAACGAGGAAGAGGTTAGCACTCCGTCACTCGAAACTCCGACACGACCCCGACGATTTTCTTGGCAAAAAACCCGACTCCAAACAACCGACCCAAAGGTCCAGGACCTTGACATACCCTCCCCGGCAAACCACTATTCTGGATAAACCCGCACCCGAAGGCTCGGTTGCTACCCTAGGTTTAACTTATGAGGAGAAACACAAGAAGGAAGAGTAATAATAATGAGGAATATATTATCGTTCTGAATTTGTGTTGCTTATTAAAGAAATTATTTTTAATTTTTTTATTAAATTAATTAATAAACATCAATCTTATAAAATTGTTAATATAAAATAAATATTTAAAATAATTTTTTTCTTTTAAACAGATGTTTTCTAACATTTTTAAGAAAATTAATTTTAATTTTTACTTTGTGTCAACAGAAAAATTCACCTGTTTTTAGTTACGTCGTGACTTTTTGAATTAATAATTAGTACAAAAAATCTGTCCAATAATTTTAAATTAAGAAAAAGGGAAACTCATATATTTATGAATAGGAAATGATCTGATATTGAGCATGGAAAATTTTGATCCAACTCGTTGTTGGTTAGAGGATACAGATTCTTGATTAACAGAAATTTTGTTTTATTAAGTAAAGAGACCGAAATTATTTCAGAACATATCAAAGGGACTTGAACTCGATAGCTCTCTACTCTAAGTTGTTACCCGATTAACCCCAACCCATCTCAGAAAATAACAAAAGATTGGTAAACACTTGATATTGAGAGCTCTTCGATGCGAGGATTGTTAACCGCTCAAATCTGAAGCTATTCCAAAGAATAATAAAAGGTTAAAGAGGAATGAATATAATAGCCGGGAGAGAGCATAAAGTGCGTTAAGAAAGTATAAGACCCCCCTATTTTTTGCTGTTACTCATATATCCAACACGCTAAATGAAGCAAAATTTTTATACATGGTAGATATCAGGTAAATATAAGGATAGAGAATGTTTCAAAGAGATTACTTTCGTTTTAAATTTTTTACGATTTTTTTTCTAAAAATTGAGCGTTAAGAAATTATAAGACCCCTTTGAATTCTTTGAAACATTCTCTATCCTTATATTTACCTGATATCTACCATGTATAAAAATTTTGCTTCATTTAGCGTGTTGGATATATGAGTAACAGCAAAAAATAGGGGGGTCTTATACTTTCTTAACGCACTTTAGGAGATCTTCTGAGGGCTCTACCATGCAGGATTGTTATCCGATCAACCACCTATCACCAACTGATAGTTTTTATATTTTAGAATCTTGGCCCTATCTTTAAGAAGTTTTACTTGAAATTAATCAAGAAAAAAATGTCAAAAGTTAATCTAATATCAACACAAAAATAAATTATTTTAAACAAAAATAAATTTATGTAAAATACACCTAAAAATAAAGAGCAAACAATAAATCACGCAAAATTTACTTTATTTTATTTGAATAATTTATTATTTATTTATTTTTTCAAAAATAAATTTTTATTTTTTCTGAAAATAGAAATAAAAAGCTTTGACTTAAACTTTATCGAAATTAAAAAATTTTTTTTTTACTTTTTAAATTTTAAGAAGGAAAGCATTTTTATTAAGCAAACATTTTTTAAAAGTCAACATTTTTATTTTAATAAAAGATTAAATTAAAATTATATATAAAACTAACTGCAAATTAAATAAATAATAGTTGTTTTTACTTTTATTATTAAAAAAATATTTTTTAATACAGCCGTACCTCAATATAAAATAGGGACGTCAATGTAAGACACGTATTTTTTAATTTGTGTTTACAATATAAGAGGGAGCTGCCTAAGCAAAACCCTCGATTTAAGATATACCGCATCATAAGAAAGTATTTGGTTTTCTAAAGTGGTATCTTAAGGTATACCGTGGAGCAGAGGTGGCTCAGAATTCCGATTTCCGACACATCTGACTGATCGGACCCAACTCTCTGCACACACGAAATTAAAAGTCGCGATTTTGAGAATAGGGAATTTTGGCTTCCTGAATCCTGAAATCCCGATTTTATTTTATATTTCTATTTATATTTCGGGAATTGGGAATCGGTTCGGGTAGTTCCGTGGTATTAATTATTATTTTTGTATGAGAAAATTTTATTAAATAATTCTTTAAATTTGATAAAAAAAGGCCCGTTCCAACTATTACTAAAATTTTCGTGAAATAAGTCTAATTGTTAATGAATTGTTCAAAAAATAATTTGATATGCAAAACCTTTTTTTAAACATTATTAACATGGGATCAGGCCAATAGGTAGAATTATAATTTATGAGTAAGTCTATTTTTGTGTTTTGTATTGGGAATGTTAAAAAATATTTTTCTAAGTTTCTTTCCCAAATTTTTTACCCTGCATTTTTCATGGGTTCGGGTTTTTAAATTCTCTGGACCTTTCTAAAAGAGTTCCTAATCTCTCCTCAATATGCAAGATCAAAGGAGAACCAAGAGAGTTTTTAAGCTATAAAAATGAAAATAGAAAAGAGGCTCAATAGAAAATGATTACCCAATGGCTTAGCATCAACATTACGTGGGTTAATGTTTGCTAACCTTGAAATAAAAAAAGAAATTTGAATAAAAAAAATTTTTTTTCCTTAAAATGTTTATTCAATTTATTCTATTTTTATTAATTTTTTTTGAATAATAAAATTATTATTTCTCTTCCTGGCTTAAATTTCAAGCCAGATTTATTTAAAATAGAAGAGTTGTCATATATTTTATTGCTGGCAATAAGCTTTGATCTCTGCTTTTTGTTAGATTTCGTATTAACATGTGAGGTTTAAAGCTAAAAATGGAGGGTTTATTCTTTTAATTTTTGCTTCGATTTTTGCTTTTTTTTAAATATATTATTAGCCGTTAATTTAATATACCCCGAGAATTAAGGTAAAATTCTGTACATAAATATCCCTAGAATATTGGAGAGATTCTTCATTCTTATACCTTTCTTTACTCCTTCTAACCCTCTCAAAATGAATTTAAATATTTTTAAATTTACCTGCTCCCTCGTTTTACTATTTTTGGTTTATTTACCTGAAAAATCATTGGGAGATGGAGTGGATTCGATGAATGGAGAGAAGGATGAAATTACTGATAAACTACCTTTAATTAATTTTGATATAAATTTTAAGCATTATTCAGGTATCTTTATTATTGAATTAAAATAGAAAGAAAGATGGGGGAGAGGAATTGGAAACCGTAAGAAGAATTAACAGGAGGGTATTGATAAACAAAATATAATGAAGAGCTCTCTGAAGGGGGGGGAGGGAGAGTGAGAGGGAAGAATATGGGAAGAGCTCTCTCATGGGAAGAGCTTAAAAGCCGGGAAGAATAAATGGAAAGCAGAGCAATCGGAAAGCTTTGTTACATAATCACTCGATTCTCGTTCTAAATTAATTTTCCATTAATAATTTTTATTATTTAATAGAGGAGTTATTAGAATAAATAACTAATTCTGAAAAATTATTTAATAAATTTAAGGTTATCTTCAAGTAAAACAGAATTATATGCTTCACTATTGGCTAGTAAAGTCCCAATCGAATCCAGCAACTGATCCACTAGTCTAAACCACTTTAAAAATTATAAACTAAAATATAAATCTTTTGCAGCTCTTCTGGTTTAACGGAGGTCCAGGATGTTCATCACTTAATGGATTATTGGAAGGAATGGGTCCATATATTTTAAGCCCTGATAAAAAAACTCTAATCAAAAATGAAAATAATTGGAATAAAAATGCTTCAATAGTTTATATAGAGGCTCCAATAGGTGTTGGGTATTCATATGCTCTTAATGGGAATATTACGATAAATGATGATCAAGTAAGTAAACTAAACTAATTTCTTGAGATGTCTCCTGTAAGGGAGGAGAATTACGTTTAATTACGTCTAAACTCAGATTATCCCTTGACTAACCAGCACCTCTTTCAACTACTTTCAAATTAAAAATTATTTTAAGACTGCTGATGCCAACTATGAAGCAATTAAATTATTCCTAGCAAAATTTCCAATGTTCCGAAAAAGCAAGCTATACGTAGCTGGAGAATCTTATGCAGGTGTTTATGCCCCAATGGTTGTTGATCGAATTATTAAAGGACAAAAAGTTTTTCCCATTAATTTAAAGGTGATAAAAATTTAAATTAAACATTTTAATCTTAAAAAATAAAGGGATTAGCAATAGGAAATGGATTAATGAATTGGAATATGAGTATTGATACAACCTTACAGTTTGCCTATGGCCATGGTATTTTGGACGAAGAAACATGGCAATTGTTTTCGAAACAATGCTGCAAAGGATGTGTTGGCAAGTCCCTTTATTTAAAAAAATCCCAGTAAAGAAACTGGAATGTGAGGGTGGTAAAACACCAGGGACATTCCCGGCTTTCGGGAATCTGGATTCCAGAGAAAACCATAATTTCCGATTTTCGGGAATCGGGATTACGGACCCAAAAAATGTAGGGAACTTCCGATTTTCGGGAATTGGGTCGGCTAGATCTCTGGTAAAGATATGACTGCGTGGATTGTGTGAGAGAGAGTCATTTCAAGATCATCATCATGATCACGTATCGATAACTTTCTAATCTTTAGTTGTTATATCTCTTGAAAATTATTTTTATCCCTCTAAACATAATTATCACTTTAATAATTCGTCAAGAATTTAAAATTTAGATGGCTGCAACATCGACTCATTAAACGATACTTGTGCACAAATGGTTCCAACTTTTACTAAAATAAAATAGTTGAAATATTTAAGGTTTCTGATATGTTAAATATAGCTTGGAATAGTCAACGGCTTAATCCTTATGATTATTACAGAGATTGTGGTAATTAATAAATAAATTCCCAATTTTTAAATTTATTATAGAGACGCCAAAGCGTTCTTCTATTCTTAGATGGATGTTTAAACATCGTTTCCCTAAAGCTCAAAATTTAAATCTTGGACAACCAATGTCTTGCGCACCAGAAACGTGTACCTCGTTACCTTGCATTGATGGTTAGAAATTTAGTTTTAATATATAGGAGTTTGCTGAATCCATACCTATATTAGAGCTCAGAATAACAGAATATGAGGGAATACTTATTAATTAATGTTGTTAGTCCGGCCAGACAATATTCACCACTCACTTGTTAAGAGTTATTAAACGACAACGACTAATTCCTCCGATTGTACAATAAATATTCCTATTTCCGCCTTACAATTTAAAGTTTTGGTTCTGGTCATAGCTTTTCGTGAGAGAAAAGTGGTTCTAGTGAGAGATAGGATACTTTCGAATACCTCCATTCGAATTCGATATTATCTGTAAAATTCGAATAATTTTTGAATTTAAATTATTCATTTGAAACTCGAAGTTGCATTTTGCCTATCTCTACTGTTGGCTTACATTTCGTGTCCGTCAAGAGGGGATTAATTGAATATAAAATAAACGATATTTTTTGCATTCAATTAGAATCAGAATAAGAGTTTTCCTATATCCCCAAAGCAAATCTTTGGAAACCGTTAAAGCTATAGCCCCAAATACTTTTTAGCTAAAATAAACATTATTAATCTATCAATTTATCAAAATTTTCAGACACTGGAATAAATAATTACATGAATAGACCCGATGGTATTTTAAATATAATCAAGCTAAATTTAAAAAACAAAAATTTATTTTAAAGTCAGAAAAGCTTTACATATCCCTACTAATCATACCTTTACTTGGAAGTCTTGTAGTGATGATGTTTTCAAAAATTATATTAAACAATATGGTTTAAAATTTATTTAAAATAAAAAAAAATTTTTTTCAAGATGATATGAGTATATTTATTAAGAATATTCTGGCTGCAAAAATTCCAATTACCTTTTTTTATGGAGATACTGATGCCGTTTGTAATTATTTACTTGGTCAAAAATTTGTGGAGGGGCTTGGATTGAAGGTAAATCTCTGGCAGATATTAAAAATTTTATTTCTAATCCCTGTAGACAAACATATGTACTATATTTCTAATAAAAAAACCCATTGTTAAAAAGTCCACGTATAATTAGAGACGGAACTTGAGGCCTAGAGAAAAACCAAGACCAAAAAATAAAACCAAGACAAGACCAAGAGTCTCGAAGATCTCTATATAGGCCGAATCTCTAACAATTTTGATTGCATAACCAAGAGCTAGAACAAAATATCGTCTGTTTCCTGTAAAAATTTAGACTTGAATTTAAATTTCTGTCAGAAAAGTATTCCTATTCGAATCATCTTTCTCCGAGTTTCACTTCCTCATATCCTTCATTTTCAATTTGGAACTGAGCGAAACCGACGATTTTTCGGGTTCTTTTTTCGTTTAGGTTTAGGATACCAGGGATCTATTTGACTACCAAATAATCCCTTAGAACCGTCACTCCTAATACATAATATTAATCTAAAATCATTCTCTTAAAAATTTGTGGAGAATAAAGGAAAATTCTATGAGATCCCTATTCTATTCTAAAAAATAATTTATTTAACAGTTAATAACACCCAAAGAAGCTTGGATTTTAAATGGCCAAGTTGGAGGATTTCAAACGATTTATAATAATCTTAAATTCTTAACGGGTAAGTTGATACTATAAAGAATTATTAAAAAATAAAATTTTAAATTTTTAGTTAAAGGTGTTGGACATATGGTAAATTAAATAAAAAATAAATTTTAAAAAATAATTTAATTTTAAGTTATTGAGTTGGGCACCGGTTCAGGCTGAATATGTCCTTAGACAATTTTTAAATAATTCGAATTGAGGACAAATATGGGTTGAAAAATACAAAGAATAAGCTAAATTTCATTAAAATTTTCTTTAATTTATTTTTATGGGTCTTTATTTTATGGGTCTTTATTTTTATGGGTCTTTAATATTCCAAAACTCAACTATAAGATACACACTAGGGATGTTCGTGTATCCCGATCCCGACTCCTGCCTTGGAAAATTTTCCGAATTTTTGGCCTCACGAGACCATTTCCCGACCCGACCCTTGTTTCCCGATTACCGGGTTTTTCCTTCACCCAAGCATCACTAATATACACACTTGTGACCGAAAAATTTTTTGTTTTAATGCGTGGACTAGTTTAAATGTTGACACCCAAACATGTTTAACTATCATATAACTTTCCCATTAATATTTATTTTTAACAATTTTTATCCTTTGCTTTATCTTCAAATATCTATTAAATCAGCAATTCTAGTAAAATTTTTTAAAAAATTATTTAAAATTAAAGTTAATACATTTTGAAAAAGAAAATTTTCTTCTGCACCCAGATAGGCAAATATTTCTTATAATCCGTCAAATTATTTGAGATCAATTACTTGGGATCAAATGAGAGTAGTAATTTTAATAGGGGGTATTTAGTTAATTGTAACTCTACCTTATAACGAACACCATTTAAAAAAGTGTCTTAAATTGTGAAGTATCTAGAAATGCTCTAATTGAACCACATATCTTCTATTTTTCGATCCTCTTGTAGGGTGTGCTTTAGAGAGTATGCTTCAAATAGGGAGTGTGCTTTTATTTTTCGATCCTCTTGTAGGGTGTGCTTTAGAGAGTATGCTTCAAATAGGGAGTGTGCTTTTATTTTTCGATCCTCTTGTAGGGTGTGCTTAGATTAGGGAGTGTGCTTCAAATAGGGAGTGTGGTTCAGAGCATTTACGGTATCTAGAAATGTTTAAGTATCTTATATTGATACTCGAGCCTTTTCTCATAGTGAGCCTTATTTAACTATCAAATCACTTCCCCGTTAATATTTATTTTATTTAATATTTATTGTTAACACATTTAATTTTTCATTATCTTTCATTTTAAATTCTTTTTTTTTATTTTCCATCTTCTAAATACATTTTCTCACCAACTATCGCATTCATTGCACCAGCAACCTTTGCATTGCTATAAAAAAATTTAATTTTACAAAAATATTTAATTAAAAATTTCCAACATAATATCCGCATTCACAATAATTGTGACACTTGTTACATTTTTTTGGAGCTGGGTCGTTCTCTATATCTTCTGTTGTAGCATTAATAGCTGGAGTTGTTGTTTCATGTTTTGGTTTCTTGGTCTTTGTGCCGCGAGTGGAGACTAAGATAAATTCTGTAGCCAAAAGGAGAACGAGGAGAACGGGAAGAAACTGAAATATTGTAGTTACTCAAATAATTACCCCCCCCCCCGCCCCTCTCTAAATAATATCTCCATTACTTTAAATAACCCTCCTAAATGATAATCCCCTCTCTAAATAATATCATCATCCTTCTAATCACTCATGAATTCCCCCATCCAACCAGCGTTGAACGCACAAAATATATGAATGAAGAATCTGTGGAGATCTGTGGATTAAGTAGATATCGGCTGATTAAAAAGGATTTAAATGGGATATCTATGAACCTTTGTGATATACGCCCTTTTCTCCGATATCTCACCTAATCTTCGAGGAACATAAGAGGATTTAAGAGGATTTAAGAGGGATATAGAGAGATTAGGTCGAATTTAAAGGAGATATCCAGGAATTTATCACCACTAAATCCTCTGATAATTCCGACCTCATTCTATGTGGACTTTATAATTTTTCTAATTTTTTAAAAATAAATATCCACCTTTTGCATGTTGATCAGTAGATTTTTTAATATTTTTTAAATTTTAAACTGTTTGAATTGAATGTTGATAAGCTAATTTTTGATAATTTTTATACTCACAATTTTTTAGTTTATTCATTGTTCGTTATTTATTTAATACCAAATAATTTTAAACTTTTTTAAAAAACATTTCCTACCAAAAAATATTTAATAGGTCGCTTAGTAAGAATTTTTGAAGTTTAAGCCTTAGGAAATGCTATTTTTATTGCTGAACTTTTTAGTTGTTAAAGCATTTTTGACATTAAAAATAAATAAACTTTTAAAAATATTATTTTTTAATTTAATAAAAATTGAGAAGTGATCTAGATTATTGACAGATCTAAGTCTATTTTGAATGAGATCTCTTCTCGAACCAATATTTACTTTAGATTGAGTCTAAAAGCAATATATGTAGATGTAATCAGCTTTAGATGTAATCAGAAAAAAAGTAATCTATTAGATGTAATCAGCAGTAGCTATAAAGTCAGAAGTAGCTATTATTAATCAGCTATTAGATGTAATCAGCAGTAATCAGCTATTAGATGTAATCAGCAGTAATCAGCTTTAGATGTAATCAGCTTTAGATGTAATCAGCAGTAATCTGCTTTAGATGTAATCAGCTTTAGATGTAATCAGCAGTAATCAGCTATTAGATGTAATCAGCAGTAATCAGCTTTAGATGTAATCAGCTTTAGATGTAATCAGCAGTAATCTGCTTTAGATGTAA